CTGGCCGTCGATGGTCACCCCGGCGATGAAGGGTGAAATGATCATCGTCGTGAATTCCTCGGCGTTCCTGGCGATGAGGGCCAGCGTCGGGGTGGTGGAGATCTTCTTGGCGGCGAGGTACTGCTTGATGCCGTCGCCGGTGCCCGCCTGGTTGAAGAGCTCGCCCAGCTGCACCATCTGCGCCGCAACCGTCGGGGCGGCGGCCATCGCGATTAAATCCTAAACGGCTTGAGAGAACAAAACCTGCGTCGATGAGAAGAGCCGGCGGGCGCGAGCCACGCCGAAAGCACACCGAAATCAGTTAAAGTGTGTCGTCGTCGTGCTGTTTTGCAGGATCTGCTCGAATCATCCCGGCGACTACGCCGACCAAGGTTGAGACAAAACTGCCGACGACGACCTCGGCTGCAGCTCCATGGCCGGCGCGGGTCGCCGTCATTCAATCTGACGCCGAGGTGGCGGCGCTAGTGGAGGACGAGCTGTCCGACGATGAGACGTCCTCCGGCGCATCAAGGTCCACCGTCGTGTCTGGAAAGCACCGTCGACACAGGGAGGGGGCCGGCGGTAGGTCGTTCAGCCGAAAGAACTGGCGAACGCCGTACGGCCAGCCGCACCGAGCCTGCCATTCGGCGCGTTCTGTGGTGGTCTCGTCCGCGGCGGGCTTGTGGAGCAGCTTTGTGCGGCAGTTCATAATGTATTGCGTCGACTGGTCTGTCGGCGCAATGGCCTTTTCCGCCGAGATCGGCGCCGGTATGAACTCGATGGCCGGGAGCTCGGCGGAGAAATCAACCGCCGGCACACCTGGCGCCGCCATTGGCTCCTCCGGCGCAGCTGCCGCCTCCTGTTCCCCTGGGGTGGCGTCGCATATCGCCGCGGCCGCCTGAGCATTCCCGAGCTGGGCCGGCGCCGGGTCGAGGACGGCGCTGGTCTGGTGTCCGCCGGCCGCCAGCGCCTGGGCTGGAATGCCCGGCGCGACCGCCAGCGGCGCCTGCTGGGTGTACCTTTCCACGGCGGTACTGGACCATCGCCCGATCAGCTGTATATGGCCACCGGTACGCCGCGGAGAGCCAAGAAGGTCGCGCCGGCGACCCTGGCGGCATGCCCGCCGAAGATAAACCTCTTGTGCCCGGCGGTGTCCGTGTGGATGGTTTGGAACCCCGGCGGCGGAGAGCACCACGTCCTTTCCTCCGACCCTGTGT